CGTTACTCACGTTAATCTCCGGCGTTGACAAAAATAAGTAATTCATATTTAAATTTGTGACATCTTAATTTGCGAAGAGATGAGATGAGTGACATTTCGACGTGACAAGTTTGGATGAAAATTGTCACAAAATTGTTGTTGCCCAAACAGAGGAGAGATTACAAATTACGATAGATAATTTACTGTAGAGCAGAATTGTCTCACTTTTTCGTGAAATGAAATGAAATCAGTTGCGTAACACAACAGAATTTGTGTGTAAATAATGAATGAAGGAATGAATGAAGAAGAAGAAGGAAGACGCAAATCAAGACAAGAATGACTTGTTGCATTACATTACTTGTTCCTCGTTAAACTCTTAATTTATATATGTATGCGCTTTATTTTTATGTGCCGACGCCATCACGTGTTACGTCGGATATCCTACTACTCTCTAAAGGAGTATTAAATAGACGCAACTAGGCTTGAGTTTCTAAAGTTTAGTAGAATTTTCCTCAGAAAGAGAGGATTCGGTATCACTGGTCCAATTAAAAACTTGCGAACACGTCATCTCTTTGGGTTAAAAAACGTTGATCAGATAGATATATTTTAACTGTAGGACGGCTGTGAGAGTAGTGATGACCAGCCAAAAGATCACTTCTCCTGCCTGGTCTAGTCAATGATATACAAATATATACATAGGTACATGCAGCGATAAGGAAATTAGTATGATTTCTTGAGATTATTGTGATTATATTTTTTTACAAACATGTATACCCATGATTTATCGTCATGAAATATGGTGATGGCAGCTCATCTAAATTTGTGGTAACCACCATCTAAATCGGTGGCAAAAAAGGCTAAAGTTGGAAGAAATTCATCCGGTGGCGAATTCAGCTAAAATTTATGGCAAATTTCAGCTTATTCGGTGGTGCATTAAATTTAACCCATATTTAAACTAAATTATAGGCAAATTCTTTTTTCAGGTTACAAGAAATTTACTCAATATTGCTGACTGAATCCTATCATTGGTTATCACAGTTATGGATAAGTGTACATCCGAATGGAATCATTCGGTTCGAATATTTTTTAAATTGAAAGATTCGGTTCGGTTCGGATGGATCAAAAATCAAATCAAAATTAAAACATTGTATGAAAAAGTGTTCAAATTAAACGACCATATTTTAATGTTTGAAAAGTAAAGTGTATGTAATCAATTTTTCAGGTACAGAGATCCAGTGGTATTAACGAAATGTACAGAATCATAAAATTTTGTTCATAAGTAATTCTTTGAGCGATATAAAAAAACTTATTAGAAAACTGCAAAAAACTTTGCACCTGTTTGAATTTCGAAATCGAATTTGCATTTTGATTGAATTTCAAAATAGAATTATCATTTTGTTTGAATTTCAAATAGAATTTGCATTTTGTTTGAATTTCAAAATAGAATTGGCTTCTGACTGACTTTAAAGTTGCATTTAATTTGTAGTGTAAATTGCATGATAACTATGCAGTAGATAATTGGGTGGTTTAATTTAAATCAAGATGTAAAATTTTTGAGTACAAAATTTTGAAATTATTAAATTCCCGGAAGCTAATAAATAATTACCAAATGCAGGCATGATTTTTTTGTCATCTTTCTCACACCCGTTAAACTTACTGACATTAACGTTGCATTTAATTTGTAGATTAAAAAATTACGTCTCAAGATTGTAAAGTAAGATTCTCCATGTCTTCAGTACTAAATTTTATAAAAATTGCAATAGAAGATTTTAAAATTATTTTAAAAAATTAAAAATTTTCTAACAATGGAGCAAGTCTCTAGAAACAACATTTGGTTCACCACTTGCGCAGATACGAATTTGTCGTTGGGTCAATACGGTGTTGGGTCAATCCGTCGCTGGGTCAATATGGTGCCGGGTCAATCTGTCGCTGGGTCAATATGGTATTGGGTCAATCTGTCGTTGGATCAATATGAGCGGGTCAATTTGTCGTGGGTCAATATGACTGGGTCAATTTGACGCCTCACCGATGCGCAAAATTCAGCAAGTTATGGGCGCCACAAGATTAGCAAAAACGCATGATTTTTGATGCAAGGTCCAGCGCGAGCTCACTCTCGACCATTTTTCGCGAACTTGTGGCGCCCATAACTTGCTGAATTTTGCGCCTCTGCGCAAGTGGTAAACCAAATGTTGTTTCTAGAGACTTGCTCTTCCAAACTAACATGGTCAAAAAATCATCTGGGCTGAACATGGTTTGCGCCTCCATTGTAAGATAATTTTTTTCCGGAAGAAATTTTATTAGTTCAAAATATGACACTTTACGAGTATGAAATTCTCATCTGTTAATAATTATTATCTAATCATTGGATATATAAAAGAACATTAACGGCATGGAAGTGGATTAAATAAATTCATTACAATTAAAAAATATATATGCAATAAGGTGAAGAAAGAAACAAAATATCTTTTCAAATTATTGAAAAATAAAATAAAATAAATTTCCGAGAAGAAATTTACTTCAAAATATGCTCCCTTGATGACGAAGATATTTTCATCTTTTAACATAGTTGTTATTATTAAATCTCCAAAATAACATTAGCGGCATCAAAATTAAATTTATTAAAATTAAAAAATAGGCAATAACGTGAAGAAATGAACAAAATATATTTTCAAATTATTGGAAAAAATATAAAAAATTTTCCGGGATGAAATTTGGTTCAAAATTTGACATTCTGCGAGTCAGAAATTTCATCTTTCAATATATTTATATTATTGAATCTCCAAATTAACATTAACGGGATCAAAGCTGATTAAATAAATTCATTACAATTAAAAAGCATGCACTAACGTGAAGAAATAAACAAAATATATTTTCGAATTATTGACAAAAAAATAAAATTTTTTCCGGGATGAAATTTAGTTCAAATTTAGTTCAAATTAGTTCAAATTTTGAACTTCAAAATATGACCCGTTTTGATAAAGACACTTTCATCTCTTAACACATTCGTATTATTGAATCTATAAAATAGCATTAACGGCGTCGAAGTTGATAAAAAATTCATTACAATTTAAAAAAAAATATCCAATAAAGTGAAGAAATAAGCAAAATATATTTTCAAATTATCGAAAAAAAATTAAAATCAATTTCCTGGATGAAATTTAGTTCAAAATTTGACGCTTCTTGGGGAAGAAATTTTCATCTTTTAACATATATCTTATTATTGAATCTCCAAAATAACATTAACGGCATAGAAGTTGATTAAATAAATTCATTACAATTTAAAAAATATGCAGTAACGGGAATAAATAAAATATATTTTCAAATAACAATAATTTTGAAATAACAATAAAAATAATTTTCCGGGATGAGTTCAAATTTTTAAATTCAAAATATGACACGAGGAAGAAACTATATCTTTTAACATATTTCTCATTATTGAATCTCCAAAATAACAATAGCGGCATCGAAGTTGATTAATTCATTAAAAAATACGCAATAAAGTGTCGAAATAAAAAAATATTTTATGTGCATGTTCTCATTTAAACTTAATTGATGGATAATTAAGTATTGGCTCAATATTTGTTTGTTTGTTGTCGATGATTCACTTAAATTTAAACAAGAGCAAGAGTTACAAATATTTATTAACGACATGAAAAACGAGATCGAGATCGTTGTCGTGATTGAAATCAAAGCAAGCAAAAGTTTGATGGCAGGGTTTGGTTTCATTTTGCAGGTTTGCTACATTTCTTGCATAGCAATTCAAGAAATGCGAGGTGCAGGAAACTGGGAGAAAGTGGGAGAAATAAGCGCCATCTGGCCACGCGCCATATGAAGTAAAACGGCGGGGCGTAGATTCTTGCATTTCTTGCAGGTCAAAATAGCTACAAAGAAACACTTTCTTGCACTTATTTCTTGCACTGCAAAGCTATAAATGCAAGAAATAGGTACAATAAACTGTAAGAAAGTGCAAGAAATATGCGCTCTATGAAGTATAGCGGAGGTGGGTAGTTTCTTCCGCCGTGCATTTCTTGCAGGTCAAAATATTCCCCTGCAAGAAACCTATTTCTTGCCGTTATTTCTTGCAAGGTTTGCTAAATTTCTTGCACTACAACGTAAGTAAAGTAAGAAATGCGAGGTGCAAGAAACTGGGAGGAAGTGCAAGAAATGAGCGCCATGATCTAACCACGCGCCGTACAAGGAATAGGCGCGGCAAGAAATTTATTGCACTGTACATTTCTTGCAGGTCAAAATAGCTGCAAAAAACACTTTCTTGCACTTATTTCTTGCACTGCAAAGCTAGAAATGCAAGAAATATGTGCAAGCAACTGTAAGAAAGTGTAAGAAATTAAGTTTCTGATGTAGTTTCTTGCAGGTCAAAATATTTCCCTGCAAGAAACCACTTTCTCCTCCTTATTCCTTGCAAGTGGTTTCTTGCACCGGAAACATATTAATATTTAAGTGCGCCCGAAACCCTGTTTGGCACGCATGATGAGGAGATTGATTTACCGACCTTGCCTTCGTGGCGTCGTGGCGTCGTAGTCGTTGACCAATCAATCAACTCGTCAAGTGTCAAGTGCATATGGTTTTTGGGGTGGTTTCTCGTCATGCCAAGAAATAAATGCGTCGTACCGTGTAATAATTAATTAACGATGATGATCATAGGTTATTGTCCCAATTGAATGATTTTTATTTAAGTATGTGGATCAAATTGGAGGTTGAATTTTAGATGGAAAATAGATTCTGAATTTTGAAAAAAATCGTAAGATTTGAGAAAAATTTACGAAATTTTGTTAAGTGAGGCAAATTGAGATTCAGTAGTAAGATTATCAGATTTAGGATACAATTTTGTTATGTGAGGCAAATTGAGATTCAGGATATTCAATAAGGTTATCAAACTTGAGATAAAATTTATTATGTGAGGCAAATTGAGACTCAGAATTTGCAGTAAAATCATAAGACTTGAGATAAAACTTTTCACGTGAGGCAAATTGAGATTTAAGAATTTCCAGAAAAATGAAGAAGATTTTTTTATACGAGGCAAACTGATATTCAGAATTTTCATGAAACTCGCGATACTTCATACAAAATTCGTTTATCTGAGGCAAATTGAGACTAATCTGACATTTTCTACTCACGTATTTACATGTCGCATCGCAACATAATTTTCCCCCTGATGAGGAAATTATATCCCTCAGAAATATATTTTCGAAATTTCATCCGCATTTTTTTCCAACCAATTTTGAAACCATATTGCCAAGATGAGTGGGATAATTACTAGCGACGGACAAGAATCGTGGAATTTTCCACCCACGAATCGTCCCCCGTCCTCCTCACCGCACCGACGCCAAGACGAACACGCTGCATCCGGCGATACCAAAAAAGCCACTTTGAAGGACAAACTCTACGCGAAATGGACGTCCTGGAAAACGGTGGACAATTCCGGCACGTGGGCCACTCGAATGTCACGTGCTCCTTTTCCAGTGATGCATCGCTACCTTCAAAAAGCGCAATGGGTCTTGGTCATCGCCCTTGTCACCTCGGCACTCGTGGTGTACGAAAATTTATAAAATTATAAATTTTACCACTTTTTAACCCATTAGCGATTCCGTATTTCATTTATTATAAAATTATGTTTGCTGTGGAAGAGTTCTGTTTAATTTTTCTGAAATTTCCAGCCCCGAAATTCGGAAATTTGTGCTGGATCGGACCTGGAAAGGGGGACTTGTCGTGTTTTGGTAAATAAGCAACAATCACATTAACAATGGAAGTTTCGCCGCAGCACATGCTCTCCGATTTTGAGCAAATTAGTGTCAACCGATCACAAATTCAATTAGTATCAAATTTTCGACAGACACGATTTCCTAATGGGCACGTTTGGCCGAGATATTTGCATCCAAAGAGGAGAAAACGCACAGTAAATTTGGAAAGTGCAAAATTTGTCGACTTTAGGACGTATTTTCTTCCCTTCGGATGCAAATATCTGCGCCAAACATGCCCATTGGGAGATCGCGTCTTTCGCAAATTTCATCCTAATTAAATTTGTGATCGATTGACACTAATTTGCCCAAAATCGGAGAGCTTGCGCTGGGAGACCTCCATTGTTACATACTTTCTGCATTCATTCCAATTTTCTTTGGACCACAGTTTTGAATTTCTTACCTGGATGACGCTCACCCTTCTGCTCGGATTTGGATGGAAACTCCCTGTGAATTATGTTTCCCTTGCTATCGCGGTATTTAAAAAAAATTGGAAATTGTGGGGCGAAATTTCTTGTACAGATTTTTTTCAATTTTTCGAAATTTTTTTCAAAATTTTATCCAGAGAGTCTTCCTCTCCCTGGAACTTCAGTACGAGTGGGCACTGCAGAAAAGAGAAGGGTGGCCCGCCTTGAAAGGTTTTTGGCTCACGACGGCATCCATGTCGACCATGAACAGCATCCTGGACTGGTTTCGGGGACAGAAGAATGACGCCCACGAGACCAAACCAGGCGACGAAATTGACCCGATGCACCAAATCGTGGTCAATGTCACGCTCGCGGTGACTTTCTCCGTGGCGGCATGGTTGCTCACGAGACATTCAAAGGTTGATGAGGAAAATCAAGTTAACGTAGGACGCATCAGCACATTTTTAATCATTTCTCGCCTCTGGGAATTTATTTTAAAATTCTGGACGACAAATTTGTAGAGAAGGGAGTTCCCACTTTAAAAAAATATACACTCCAGATTTTGACACTTTTTGAAGGAGGAGATCTCAAGGTTAAGAAGCCTTCAGAAAAATTGGAACTCCTCGAAACTGGCTCAAAAAACTCGACGCCATTCCATTAATCAACTCACTGAGGGCAAATTTGTCGTTCAGAATTTTAAAATAAATTCCCAGAGCGGAGAAATGATTTAAAATGTGCTGATTTTGATGATGAGTCGTTACGTTGAGGTGATTTTTTCATAGATTCGGATCGATAAGCTTGGAAACGTTATGCTGTTGGCGTCCTTTTTTGGGACTTCGTTGGGGTCGGTGATCCTCGTCTCGTCTCTGGCAATTACAAGGATCGGAGTGGACCTACATATGGCAATGTGCAAGTTTTGGGTGACGTACGCCGTGGTGGGAAGTTTTGTGGTAAGCAAGGCTAATCATTTCTCGGTTCTGGGAACTTATTTTAAAATTCTGGACGACAAATTTGCAGTCAGTGAGTTGATTAATGGAATGGCGTCGAGTTTTTGAGCCAGTTTCGATGAGTTCCAATTTTTCTGAAGGATTCCTTAACTTGAGATCTCCTCCTTCAAAAAGGGCCAAAATCTGGAGTATATTTTTAAAAAATTCGGAACGACCTGCCCCACAAATTTGTCATCATGAATTTTAAAATAAATTCCCAGAGTCGAGAAACGATTCAAAATGTGCTGATTTTGATAATTTTGGCAATGAGTTATCCAGTTCTGAGATAAATTTTCAAATATTTTTAAAAATCCGGATTTTTTTACTAGTTCACCTTCTTCCTGCTGCAACGACAACTCTGTTCGGGTGAAAAGTATTGGGTTCGGAAGCGATATGCTGACGCGGAATTTGCCTGGTTCGCCTTGGAGGTTTTGATGTACTTGTTGCAAGGGTACATTGTCCTTCGGTACGTATTTTAAATAATTCCAAATTCATACGTAAATTCATACAAGTTCAAATCCATATTTCATGAAATTCATAATTTTATACAAAAAAAACATTAGAACCAAAGTTTAAAATGACGTTGTCAAATTCATAGTTCAAAATAATTCTAAAATTCGTACCTAATTTCCCGTAATTCCATAATTTTATTAAATCCCAAATATTTCATAAGTTTCGAAAGAAGAAAAACTTTGCAAAATCATTTATCACGGAAAAATAATTTTTAATTTTGGGGAAAATTTGTACATTTTTGTTAAAAAAAGAATTTGTATAAAATTTCAATTTTCTTCAAAATTTCTTCAAAATTTGATTCAGATTCGTCACCTCTGTTCATTCGGATTTCGACGCGGCGAAAACGTTGAAGCTGAACGTGACCGAAATGGTCAAAGTTTTCATCCCCACGTCGAACATTGTGACGCAGGAGTTCTACAATTTGGTCATGGTGGGGAAAATGGTGTTTGAAAATTACTACGGCAGTGTTCCAAACGCTATGAGGATGGATAACCACGAATAGGATAAGCACCATGGATAACGACCTACATACATTTACATATTTACATATTTACAAAAACTGAAAGCATTATGATTTTTTACTGGGGAAATTAGTTTGAAGAAGAAAATAAAATAAAACCTGCTCATGAAATTGAAGGATGTTAAAATTGTCTCCCTATTCTGAGAAATAGTTCGAATTTCTTGTGTGATAAGAATGGAAAATATTTTTGCTGGTGCAGATTTGAAGATTTTTGGGTTTTTATAAAAAGTTACAGATTTTGGAAATGTATGTTTTTTTCAATTTTTTAAATTTAACCAAATTATTAGTCGCTTTACATGAATTGAGCATGATTTTTGGGTTTCTAGTCGATTTGCATGCATAAATTAAATACTTTATGACTTAAATTAATTAACAGCCGATTAAAACAGGATAAAATATAGAGTTTTAATAGTCTCAAAATCCTGAATTTTTCAGCAAATGCATATCCGATAAAATTGAGGGTGATTTCCACATTTTCAAAAAAAGTATGGAGTGATTCTGCAGGAATTTTGCAGTCTTAACTGGATGCAAAAAGTGCAAAAAATATTCTCGCGAACCGGATTCGAACCAGTGACCTAAGGATCTCTGCCATTTTAACCCAACTACAGTCCTCCGCTCTACCAACTGAGCTATCACGAGATTGGTTATTTCCTTCACACTTTTTCCTCCTACTTCAACCCAGCCTCGCCCAACCCAACTTTCTATATCGCCTCGATCCCATCGATTTTGTCAACTGTGAAGTTTAACTGGCTTTATAACTCATAAACTTAACTTTATATAACTTATACCTAGATTACGTACGATTTGCTCCACTTTTGCATATCACCTTTCTAAATTCCTACAGTTTCAACACTCACAATTTATTACTACACAAAGCATGTAAGTAGCAAGAATAACAGGATTCTTTGTGTAACAGCAGCTTTTTGTTTGCATCCATAATTGAAAACTGCATTGTGCGGATATGTAAATTGCAGGATTTATGTTGGTCTTGATTGGTATTGTATTTTAGTGAGAATCGATCCCTTTTCCAGCATAATAATGGCATAAATAAATAAATTCTGAAAAATCGCATCTTGCCCATGTTAATAATTTCCTACACCTCTTATTTCTGAATTTAAATGACCCCCCATGACCCCCCCCCCCGACTTCCGCAGATACGCTGCTAATAGTGAGTGAGGAAGGCAACGAAAAACAAAATATTTAATGGTTTCATTAAAATCCTCATCGTTTCATATTTCAATTTTTTTTAAAGTTTCTCTCTCTCTCGTTGCATGTATTGGTCAATGGTTTTCAATGTCTTCTTAAAAATGTTAAAATATAATGTCAAATTCTGCAGAATCTTATAGAATATATTCAGGTACTTATACTCTGCAGAAAAATGTAGCAATTTTCTTTTCCTCAGGTCGATTTTCATACTGCTTTCATTTAATCGCAAGGTGAAGGTGACCCAAGGTCACCCAGTAATTATACTGAGAAGCGAACGATATATTACAAATCTATTAAATATTACTGAACTATACCCGAATCCTAGTGAGACATATCAAATCTCATTTACTAATCTTAACCCAGCTCGATTTGCATAATGTAGAGATAACTCAAGATGTACTTAAATGAGATTGGGCGAGGCTGGGTTGAAGTAGGAGGAAAAATTGTGAAGGAAATAACCAATCTCGTGATAGCTCAGTTGGTAGAGCGGAGGACTGTAGTTGGGTTAAAATGGCAGAGATCCTTAGGTCACTGGTTCGAATCCGGTTCGCGAGAATATTTTTTGCACTTTTTGCATCCAGTATTTTACAAACTGTTAAAAATTTGGTAATCGAAACAAGTTCTGAAATCGATTCATCTCCAAAAATTTGTCAAATTGTGCATGAATTTTTGTGCATAAAATGAACAACAAACTCAAAAATTGACCACAAGTTATGCATTTCTGAGAAAAATTAGATTTCCATTCATAATTTGGTTTGGAACTGATCCATTTATTTCAAATTTTTCCAATAAAGTCGATTTTTTTCAAATATAACTTTCTCCCGAGTATTTTTTACTACCAATTTCACTAAATTCTTATCAACTATTTAGCTACAGTACATATACTAAATTTGATATTTTGAGTCGTCAATTCGGAGATGAGACCGTGAAATATGTAAGGATCCAACTTGGAGGAACGATAATATCAATGGTCAACATATATAATTATAATTATGACGATTATTAATTAAAGCGATTAGATTAATCCTGCCACATTTAAATATTTGCGTATATGTCGATTCATAGATACATACATAGCTCCAGTAATAATACGGTAAAAATCACAGTTAGACTTTATGTATAGCAAGTACATACTAAAATCGTAAATCTACTGTTGACTGTTCATATTATTTGGGCAATTATCGAATTAATTACATACTACATATTTTATAATTGTTAATTAGGCAATTATCAAAACTACGCTTTTAAAATTTCCGTAATTTACGCTTTCTCTCGAGTGATTTTGGTCAAAATTTCCGGAGCTGAACGTTAAATCATGCTTGAGTGTCCTCTTCTAAATATTTTCCATATTTTCTCCGCAAATTTTAACCGAAGAAAGTTACAGAAATTTTAAAACCGTACATAGTTTTTTAGTTTCGATAATTCCCTCTATTGATCCACCATCAATACATAAAATTTTCAATAAGTATTATTTATTTAATAAGTTTTTTTCCCGTGTATTTCTAAATCCGAATTATTTGAGTCCGTTGTATTTTATTAGTTGTTTCTTCCTCTTTTTTTAAATTTTACAAGGCAGGGAAGACTTCCGCAGCAGAATGAGATTGAATATGGGCCGCCATATCGCCAGCTTTGATAACTTGGAAACATTCATGGCAAGAGGATAAGTCTTTCATTATTCCACCCGAGCGGCGATGCGAGGCCAAAAGCTCCTGAAAAACAGAATAAATATCTTATTTAGCATATACATTCATGACAGATTATAATCAAAGGGCAGATATGTAAATATTTTCAACTTTTTCAGTTGATGACGACCGGCGGTCAAACTTTGTGGGTGTGTTTCCTAACTCGTATAGATCGCAAAAAATTCGAAATAGTTTTACATATTGTTACATGTTTCTGGGTTTTCTTTTGAGACATATGCATATTTTCGCTATTATTTGAAAAATACGTAAATCTTTTCGACATTTTTTCAAAAATACGTAAACTTCGTGAATATTTCAGCGCCCAATTTCCTTGCAAAGAAATTCGACCACAAAAAACTCAGAGCATTATATTCAAAAATACAAACAGAATTTTGAAAAATTCTCATCTTTATGTTTTTTGAAACATATTTTGTAAATACTTTGGCGTTTTTTCGTCAATTTTAAATGCATATTTCAAGGATTTTTTATAAATACATATCCCCCCTCCGAGAATAACTAATTCAAATTTGTAACGATTGTTGCAGATTTGCACAGATATCCACCCTTCACATATGCTTTATCTATATACCTGCTGCTTCTCAATTTCCGGCAGGAGGGCGACCAGCTCGGGAAATATGACGCGAAAATCCGTCACTCCAAAAAGGTCTTGACACAGCTCGTAATACTCTTTCGACTCCAGTTCTCCCCTCCGATACTGATTACTCACACTTTTGAACATCTCAAAGGAACTCTCATCCCGATTAAGGGAACTTTTTATGGCTTCCAAGAGGCGCCCGTTCCTCCTCGTAAATTCGGGCGGTTGACTGTACAACTTTCCTACCGCGCCCGCCTTCGCCTTCAACAACTCCAAGTCCTCCGATATGTTGTTATTATTGTGATTTTTATTATTCGACGCGGCCGTGAGGAAGGAGAGATCGAACAAATCGGTCGTGCCAGATTTTGGCGTCGCGTTTCCAAATCCGGGCGGAGGTGCGATCTTGTTTGGTCGAGGGGAAGAAGGAGAGGGCGATTTTTTACAGGTGGATAAAAACTGGGTGGATTTTTTGACCGGTTCGAGCGACGGGAAGTCGTCGTTGGTCGGTTTGGTGGGGGTTTTGCTGCTACTGCTACTAGCACCGTCTTTATTTTCTGGAGATTTCCCATTAAACAGGGCCGCGACAGCTTTCGCTTTTTCTTTCGGAGACGAAGGATACTCATTGGAGGACGAGGTGGTCTTGTTTTTCTTCTTCTTTTCCGTCGTTAATGGGGGCATGTCGTCATTCTCGTCGTTGGCAATGATACATTCGTACTTTTTGCTGAGAGAGTCCTAAAAACATGGGAAGAAATAACTAATAAAAACGGACTCACGTATCGGATTTAGAAATATACGGGAAAAATTTATTAACCTTCCTGGCGCGAGAGACGCTTAAAGGAACGAATTGAAATGAGTCGTAGGGGTCGACCTCGATTTTCCGCTCGAGCGGGGGTGCCGCAACTTTAAGGGTGCGAGGGGTTTGCTTGCCCTTTTTCATTTTTACGCCGGAGCCAGCCCAGGCAGTGCCATTGGCGGAGGAGGTGGGATTCCCAAGGGAGGGGAATTCTTCGAGGGCGGAGGACAGTGTGGTGGGACGGGCAAACCCGTTCCGTTTGGCGGGTTGGGTGTCGACGGGTGGGGTTGGTTTCTTGGTGGAGATCACGGTGGACGCGGTAGTGGTGACGAATTGGCTAGAGAAATTTGAAATATTTGTTATTTTCGAGTTGTCGATATGGAAGATGGTCAGTTTTGTGAAAACCAGTTTAGTGAATAAGTTTTGCCATAAAATAATCACATTTGGCGAAATGGAAATTCACTCAGGAGGGGAGGTTGTGTACTATCAACTCCCGGATCTCGATGCCCTTTGAATATGTTGTAGTGTCCCATGAATTTACAAGAACCCTGAAGTGGTTTGATTCCATGGCCACATTTGCGTCCGCCACACCCACTCAAAGGTGCTAAAAAATCGCTTTCACTCCAGCTTTCACTCATTCAAAAACACGTCAAAAATCCAATTTTACTCCGATTTCGAAATTTCTTTCACCATTATACTCCCAGATAGTTGTTTTCTTATTTCCAACATCCAGCTCAACTTTTTGAAATGTTTAGTATTTTTAAAATTTAAAATTCTGAAAGAGCATTGTTGTAGTAATCAACAAAGCAAATTATGCCTGCGAAATAATCATAAAAAAAGTTGATTTGGATGATGGAAATTAGAAAGCAAATATCTGGGAGTATAGTGGTGGAAGAAATTTGAAAATCGGAGTAAAATTGGATTTTTGACGTGTTTTTGAATGAGTGAAAGCTGGAGTGAAAGCGATTTTTGGGCACCTTTGAGTGGGTGTGGCGGGCGCAAATGTGGCCATGGAATCAAACCACTTCAGGGTTCTTGTACATTCATGGGACACTACAATATATTCAAAGGGCATCGAGATCCGGGAGTTGATAGTACACAACCTCCCCTCCTCAGTTTACAATACTTTAGGTGGAATGTTTTTAGAGTAACTTTTTGCGAAAATAATGTTACAATTGGTTAAAATGTGGATTATGTGAAAAAGTATTTCGCGAAGATCCATCTCACATCCGCATTTAATAAGCGCTCCGGACTTTTAAGTCTTCATTTTGTTGGATTTGAATGATCAATTATCTAATAATATTAATAAGTTGTTATCTTAATTATACATGATTTGACACGAATAAGCTTGAAATTTGTATTTCGCCAAATGTAATTTTAAGAGTTACCCATTATCGCCAAATATGACATTAATTTCGTCATGTGGCTCTTTCGCGATATTTGTTTTTTACCACATTGGCAAAAATTTATTTTCCCCGACTTTCGCCAAACTGACCATGAATCGTCAACGAACTCACCGAGACGATGGTTGAACTACTTGATCGTTTAGTCCCAATGCTGGGAATTCTTCGTCCTGTCGACTTTTAGCGTTCCACTTTGGACCTCCCCCTCCGCTACCGGATTGTTTATTTATTACATTTCTTCCCGAAGAAAGGGCAACCTTTTGAGCAATTGAAGAATTTGCGTGACTACTTCCGTTCGTCACGGGGAGAAGAACTCGAGCCGCCGCGGCACCCTCCAGCATGGGAAAATCGGCGACCGAATCTACCTTTGGTTGGGGATGGAGTGGCGGTTCGAAAACGGGTCGAGGTACGTCATCAATTTCTTCTTCGCCGTGATCACCACCACGTTCTCTGCATAGAATAATAATAATTATTTGCAAAAACCTCTGCATTAAGGTGGGACTCCATGACTTATCGTTAAAATCAACGCATTTTTAATTATTTCTCATCTCCGGGAATTATTTTAAAATTTTACACATCAAATTTGCAGTCAGTAAATTGATCAATAGAATAGCGGTGAGTTTTTAAGCCCGTTTAGATACATTGCAATCTTTCTGAAGGCCTCCTAAACTTGATATCTCTTCCTTCAAAATTTATCAAAATCTGGAGTGTATATTTTTCTAAAAAGGGTAACAACCTGCTCTACAAATTTTAAAATAAATTCCCAGAGCGGTGAAATGATTAAAAATGTGCTGACTTTGACGATGCATCATCAAGTCCTATGTCAGCAACTTGTAGCTGAATACATACCGTCGACCTCCACCCCGTCCCACGAATCCTTCCCCGTTAAACCTTCTCGACCTGCGATCCTCATCCGACTTGATGTTAAACTCGAGATCGATCATGCGTGCCTGCTTTGTCCCATGTTTTCCGAGCAGTCTGCTATGAACAGCGGTCAAATGGGCTGTTCAAAAAGTATATAAAATTGTTACAATCAAGACTAACAAAACTTCTAGTTTCAAAACCCTTCCAAATTTTAGTACCCTTCATATCAATCTCCGTTCGGAACACGGACGTAAATTTTTCCTCCTTGCAATTTTCCTCCTCGCAGAGAAAATGCTCCTTTCTAAAGTGGAGGCGTAGATCGTCGTAAGTATTGTAATAATGATTAAATCCGTCGGCGTCGCAAAAGTGACAGAAATAATGGTCCTTGCGTAAATGCTTGTACAACTCGTCGTGGTCAAAGTAGCTGAAAATTAGCAATGGTTTCTTATTCCTGAAGTTAACAAACATTGTATTGGAAATGTAATAAAATTTTACCGGCGATCACAGAATTCACAGAGGGGATGACCCCGGTGCGACTTATCGTTCCGGTCCCCTTTCCGCTTATGTGTGGCGAGTTCTTGCCGTGTATAGAAGCAGCGTTCTCTTGAGAAAAGCTGCAGAGACAAGAATTACTTCTTAGAATTTTGAGCAAACAAGTGTCAACCGATTACAACTTTAATTAGCATGAAATTACAAAAGGCACGATCTCCCAATTCCTAATGGGTACGTTTGGCCGAGATATTTGCATCCGAAGAGGAAAAAATGCGCAAGATATTTGGAAAGTGTAAGATTTGCCAACTTGACTGGGCGTTTTCTCCTCTTGGGGATGCAAACTCTCTGCCAAACGTTCCCATATCTTCTGCAAATTTCATACTAATTAAATTTGTGATCGATTGACACTAATTTGTCCAAATCGGAGAGAATATCCTGCGAGACCTCCATTGTTAGTTAGTTAATTAACTTGTTATTGGGCCAATCACTAGCTATTTTGATATTCTTTTCTACCTTGATATTATCTGAGCACAAGTCGCACGAATACATTTCATGGTCCCGTTGCACGTGGCGTTTGAGGTCTTTAAAAGTGGGGAACGTATCCGCCTCCTCGTGACAATAGGGGCAGCGATGTTCGAGTAACTGTTCAAAATCGCGGTTGACGTCTTCCCCCTCCAAATAGAGGCCCCATTGCGGGAGCAGGATGAACATACGGAGCCGATCTTTCAACTCTTTAAATGGTTTCAGACCTTTTGTGAAGATCACCTAAAAAAATCAAATTTACCAAATTAATTAATGCAAATTTTTAATGAATCGTATTTAATTATTTATCGGTGGCTCACAATTTCTAACGTCTGTCGACAAATGGGGCATTCATTCTGCTCCATTAAAACCCTCATTCGTCCCGAACACTCGTAACAAACGGAATGATTGCAAGCTCCTACGGAATAATATTTGACTTCTTTGTAACAAACGATGCAATTCTTGTCGCTGTGTTCTTCATAATTTGGTTCAATTTTTCCCGCAGCGGCCGCCGCGACCAGGGCGGCGGGATGGGGTGGGACTTTATTTCGCATGCGGGGAGGGGGTTGGACCCTAATTCCTCTTTCAGGACCACGTCTGCTGTCGTAATAAGATCCGTCGTCACGATCGCGGCGATTGTCGGATTGATAATGTGAAGATCCGCCGTCACGTTCTTCACGGGCGGATTGTTGTCGAGATCCACGTCGTCCTTCGTTCTGATGTTGACCAACGTAATGATGGTCACGGTCACTTCCTTCATCGTGTTGTTGACCTCTGCCTCCGCGGCGAGGTTCGTACGAATCCTTGTTTCCTCGACTTCTAGTTTCTCCGCGGTCGCGATCGCCTCTGGTTTCGCCGCGATCGCCCCTTGTTTCTCCGCGGTCACGATCGCCTCTGGTTTCGCCGCGATCGCCCCTTGTTTCTCCGCGGTCACGATCGCCTCTGGTTTCGCCGCGATCGCCCCTTGTTTCTCCGCGGTCACGATCGCCTCTGGTTTCGCCGCGATCGCCCCTTGTTTCTCCGCGGTCACGATCGCCTCTATTTTCTCCGCGATCACTTCTCGTAGTATTTCCACCACTACCTCCTCCACGACCACTTCCGTTTCGAAGACCTCTACTACTCGCGCTTTTACTACTGGATTCTGTTGACGCCATCGATTTAGAATTTATCAGTTGCTTTCTTTTTACAGAAATTTATAAAAAATAAAAACCGTTAAATTATTTTGAGCCAATTAAATTCTATCCTTTCACTTCTCCTTTTCCTAATAAACTGTTGCTCAAACTAAAACTTGTTCTTCCTTCGATACTTAATTATTCAACTTTGACAATTATAAACCGAAACGTTCCAATACTTTTTTTAACGTTTGACAACGATCCAGCTGCCGACACTATGCAGCTACCCTCTCTCTTCAACAAGTGACTAAATTGCCACACGGCAAGACGAAAGTCAACGTCACCGACAATTCCACGAATTACGTCACGATTGATTAGTTTTTTATCACTTTTCTTGATAAGAACGCGGTTCGGCTTAGGCTCGCAGAATGGATGCAAGAATTTGGCAATTATATAACTTGAAATTAAATTTTTACCTGGTTGATGTTGGAAAATGAAAATGTATCCGTTTTTTATTTTTAGAGGTGGTGTGGTGGTGGTTGGTTTCTATCTGAAAGTTGGAGCGAGTTGGGGGTTATGTACCTACTTTCATGTACATGGATGCGCATAGTGCTAAAAATTTGCAAAATTTGCACATTTTTTGGCAAGATTTTGTAGCGAATAATTTGGAGGAGAATTGTAGCAGAAAATATTTGCATAATTAAGCATAAATTGTTAATACTTTCATGTTCATGAGTGCATGCATTGAATCGATTTCAATTTTGCAGAGGATTAGCTATTTTCATGGTGGAAACAAATTACTTAAAAATTTAGAATCTTATTTTAATTAATTGTAGTCGTTACTTAATTGTAATCGCTTTTTTGAAAAACAATATAAACCGTTACAACCATGCTTCGATTATAGGAAATTTATAATAAATATTACAATTTAATTAATTATTAACGGGGGTTTATCATCATACCATCACTTATTATTTACGGTTGTGAAAAATTATCTTATTCTTTTGACCATTAGCTTGAGGCGGGTCGTCTTCTACGACAATGACTTCTGGAGACTTATCCTTCTCTGGGGCAGGAACATCATCCTTCAGCTTTTCAGAATTTGTACCGTTCTTTGTCTTTGACTTTTCAACAATGACTTCTTTCTTGTCTTTTTTGGGACTTTTACTAATATTTTCCTTCTTCTTTGGCGAGTCTGACTTATCGTTGGTGGTAGAATCGCTTTTGTCGGCAGGTTCGATAACTTTTATTTCTTCAGAAGTATCCATTTCTTCTGGTTCGTCATTGTTTTGCTTGTCATCGGGTTTATGTTTTTCGATAGGTTCGATTGCATGCATGACTCGAAAGACTAAACTTATCCGTTCTCCTTCAACTTTGGGGTCTTTTGGAATCTAAAACGAATAAATGATTTGATGAATGAAATATCTACAAAATAGTTTACATTATAAAAAACATTACTTGATGAGACCAGTCTATTTGACAAGCTCCTTCCATAATGAGCAAACTGCCAGGGAATAACGGAAACCGGATGAAATTGTGTTGAACTCCACGCCTTTTCATTTCAAACAATCGTAACGAGCCTGAAATTAATTAATTATAATTATTATCAAGCATAAGCGGTCAAAAGCTCGTAATCATCAATAAAATCAAGTAAAAATCTCCTCAAATAGTACCGTCCAAACATAGTTAAATAATTAATTAGCTCCATCATAATAGCTTGCAATTTTATCCAATAATTTACACATTATGGAAATCAACTTGAGTAATATTTAGAATTTTCGGTATTACCCAAGGAAATCGTAGCCACTGGAGGATTCGCCCCGTACGCTGGATGGATATCGCCATGCCATGGATGCGAATCATGTCCCGTTCGATACAAGTTGAGAAAACAAGAGTTAAATTCATGCTGAGTGATTTGGTTAATTCTAAAGTAAAGAATAAAACGTCACATTACTAACCAATAATTAATGCATAATTAATTAACTAATGAACGCCATGCCTATGAAGCAAATCTAAAATCTCGGGAGGCCAGTCTTCATTCTTTTTGAATTCCAATCCTCTATCAGCCCACTCGCAGGGACCGAGCCAGGACAGCAAACGCGGCACGTAACGCCACTGCCCCCAAACGACGCGCTGCTTCTGATGCCACTTGACGGAACGACGGACAGACTTGAACATTTTCTATTTAAAGAAAAAACAAGAGTTCGAAATACAATTAAAAAATTGAGCATGATAAATAACTAATTCTGATAAATAAAAGTAATAATTTGCCTGTTGTCCCAAATCTTTGAGGAAATGTGGCCAATAGCGAAGCACAGAAAAACCAGCTTTCGTTTCACTAAGGCACAATTCTCCGCCCTCTTTGATAAACCAGTCGGGGACGTTGATGCAGGGAGACGTGCTCGGAACTGTGACGGCGGATAGGCGTTGAGGTGCCTGCATGAGAAATAGCGGTTTATTAGTAAAAATTCCACTAACACTCGACGTATCCTCTCCAATTTTGAGCAAATTAGTGTCAATCAATCACAAAAATTAGTATGCAATTTGCAAAAAGAAACGATCTCTTAAGATGTGTGTATAATAGTTATATACATTTAGGTTTAGTTGCTTCGTAAATCATACCAATTGTGTCATGAATTAGAAAAAGGATTGGTGGACATATTAATAAAGGATTACTTGACTTGTTTCCCAATGGGAACGTTTTGCAGAGATATTTGCATCCGAAGAGGAGAAAACGCACCCTAAAGACAAACTTTACACTTTGCAAATTTACTGCGCGTTTTCTCCTCTTCGGATGCAACTATCTCTGCAAAAACGTGCCCATTGTGAGATCTGACGCAAATTTCATCCTAATTCAATTTGTGATTAACACCAGTTTGCCCCAAATTGGACAGCATACGATGGGAGACCTCCATTCTAACCGAAGTATTATAGTTAGTTAGCTAGCTACCTCAAGCTCAATTATTTCAGGCCCCTTAACCCCCGGAATACTAGTGGCGCTTGCAACTGGCACGCTCGTATACATCGTAGCGCTTTTGGGTTGTACGATATAAAGTGGACCAATCTCTTCCGATTCTGCTTTCCTCTTCCTCGACTTTCCATCATCCTTATCCTTAATTTCCTCCGGGTAACCTTTCGACTCCAACTGTTCGTACTCCTTTTGCGCCATGTACTCCGCCAATTTGTAGTCGGGGTGCTTCGAGGAATATCCGTAGCTGCTAAGATTGAGTTCTTCCGGAGGCGCAACTTTTTTAAAGGTTCCTGGATCTTCAGAATTCATCTCCTCAACTGGAAGAGGAGGTTGATCAACTATGGTGTCCACGACGGGTTCGAATTCGATCGGGATGGGGGTTTGAGTCTCGTTAGCGGGGACCCATTCTGGGACAGGGAATCGGGACATGTGCGGATTTACGGATCCAATTCGTAACCTCATTTCCTCCTCTTTCCTCCGCATTTCTTCAGTCTCTCGTTTTCTGACGACTTCTTGGAGTTGAATTACTTGTTGGAGAGTGTCCAAATATCTGTGTGCATGTACAGTTGAAATTGAAAAATCCGCAACACTTACTCTAAGATTTTGACCAAATTAGGGTCAATAGACCACAAATTTAATTAGTATGAAACTCGCGAAAGACGGGATCTCCCAATGGGCACGTTTGGCAGAGATATTTGCATCCGAAGAGGAGAAAACGCTTCCTAAAATCGACAAATTTTAACATTTTCCAAATTTACTGTGCGTTTTGTCTTCTTCGAATGCAAATATCTCTGCCAAACGTGTCCATTTGGAGACCGGGTCTTCTGGTAATTTCACATTAATTTTAATTAAATTTATGATCGATTGAAGCTAATTTGCTCAAAATCGGATCGCATACGCTGGGAGATTTTTATGTTAATTGTATTGTCACCTTCGTATTTCTCCATGTTCTTGCAAAAATAACAACTTTTTCTTCAAGAAAATGAGCTTCTGGTCGTCCGAAAACTCTTTGCACGCGATGGCAAGTTCCAGCGCGGCGAGGGCGGCCTTCTTGTCGTCGGGGTACTTTTCATAGCAGATTTCATATACGTACGAATATATGCGAGGATTTCCGCGATCTTTTTTTATCGCATTTCTCAAAATTCTAAGCGCTTTGTCTGGCAATTTCATTTCCTGTGAGTGTAAAATATTTGATTTAATTAATTACTTCATGAGTTAATGTCAATTAATTAATTTGATATGATTACCTTGTGAAGAAATCTGGCATACTTCATGCTGAACATGGAAAACTCGTGCTTGCTTTTCGCCGCAGCGGAGAGATATTTTTCGTACCGTTTGCAAACCTCGGGATGCTTCTTGGAACGTCGTTCAACTTCCAGAGTGAACAATTTTGCTTCCAAATGATTAGGAAACCATTCCTCTACATGATTTAGCAGTTCCAAAGCTTGCCTAACATTGCCTGAATGGTGTCACGTTAATCAAAGAAGGGTAAAACACAATTGCATAATTAACCTTCATTTACATACCCCTAAAGATATATGCATAATTAATTATCTAATTAACAATCCGCGCAATGATTGACGTCCTCACATAAATAATTGGGCGCTTTTTATATCAAATTTTACCGTACCTTGAATTTTTCTAATTTAAACGATACAAGAAAAACGGTTTTAACGTAGGATTCGATGACTAATCACCAAAATCGTCAAAATCGTCAAAATCAACACATTTTTAATAATTTAAAATTCCGAACGACATATTTGTAGTTAGTGAGTTGCTTAATGGAATGGGGGTAAGGTTTTTAAGCCAGTTTCGACGAGCTTCAATTTTTCTGGAGGCTTCTTAAACTTGAAATATCCACCTTCAAATAGTGTCAAAATTTGGAGTGTACATTTTTAGCCCGAGTCAGGGCTTATGGAACCGTCATGTCCGTCCGTCTGTCTGTCCGGCACGATAGAGCCAAAACGGCTGAACCGATTGACCTGAAATTTTTACCATACACATATTGGACAAAGTTAGGAAACGAGTTCGAAGATGGGCGTGATCGGTCCAGTGGTTGACCGGTGGGGGTCATCGGAGTGGGTGGGGTACTATGTACCAAAATTTCAAAATTGTTGTAGAGAGCTGAAATTTGGTACAGAGGTTGCTAATGGCTCCTAATAGATAAAAATGACTTCCAGTTGGAAAAATTTTCATCTTGAGTGACCCTATCGGGTGACCCATACCGATTTTTCAAAACCATCATATCCAACTGAAATTTGGTGGAGAGGTTGCTTATGGGTTTTAATGAAAGAATATGAGATGATATTGGTAAAATTTTTATCTGGAGCGACCCTATGGGGTGATCCATACCGATTTTTAGAAATTGCTTTAAAAAGTTGAAATCCGGCACAATTATACTTAATGGCTTCTAATTAAAGAATATGAAGTTAAAAGTGAGCAAAGTGCAACCAGAGTGACCCTATGGGGTGACCCATACTGATTTTTAAAAATCGTTATATTGAGCTGAAATTTGATATGGAGGCTGAAAAAGTGAAAACCACTGCTGGGTAGCACATGCATACAGCTTAGAACTTCAGGATGTTAAAGAAGCCCACTGGTCATGGTGGTCAAGGCACATGATTTGTAACTAATTCAAAAATTTGGTACCAAATGGTAGAAACTATCTAATAAACTTTTAACCATCCACAACGCGGAAGTTGGTGATATTATGTCGGTCAATTCGGAAAAAAAATTAGAAGCGGGCTCTGACTTATTGAGTCAGGGACTATGCCCCTGACTCGGGCTATATGGAGTCTGCACTGTAGGTTTTTTAAATTGGGAACGACCTGCTCTAAAAATCCGTGGTCCAGAATTTTAAAATAAATTCCCAGATCGGAGAAACGATTAAAAAGGTGTTAATTTTGACGATTTTGCCGATGAGTCATTGAGCCCTACGATAAACTGGTCTGACGACCACCATCCAGCTTACCCAATTCTTCCTCAAAAGCTGCCCACTGCAAACGAATTGCAGGTTTTTTAGGGCAGTGGACAATACAGGCACGTTTGTAAACATCACGCACAGCTTCTTGCCAAACCTGGGAGAGGCCAAAATTTATTTAAAAAATGATCCACAATTTTTAAGGAATTTTTATTGTCTCACATATTTCGCTGGAGGAAACTCTGGAACACTGAGAAGCGTTGTAAAACCTGGAGTTGAAGTATCGTTGTTAAGATCGAGATCTTGTTCTCCAGATTTGACTGGCGCTATCATTGACACGAACGTGCCCGTAACGCCAATCAACTTTGGAGACACAAGTTCAGTTCGAAGTTCTTCCGTGGCCGCAATGTAGCCCACGCTGGTAACCTTTTCCCCATAGCACTGCGCCAGGTCGAAGAATCGGTCGGATATTTTCGACAAATCGTCCGTATTTGCACCAACCACTTGCGTTATCACAGGAGTCAACACTTTAAAAACGGAGTGGTCTTGTTTAAGTTCCTCTAAAGCTACCGAGTTCACGAGGTGTTTCACTGTCGAGTAAATTTCTAACTTTTCTGCCTCTTCTTGTTGCTCGATTTTGGAAATTATTTCACTAATCGTGCCGCGAACGTCGTCAATTCGGTGTTCTTCTTCTTCGGTTTCTTGTTTGGACCCGATTTCTAGGTTTTCCTGGTTTCGGAGAAAATGAATGGATAAGTCAGCATTGCTGTTGGGCCGCTTTTTGTGATAGTGCTCCAAATAGTGGGCATATTTACACCAAAAGTTTTCATACAGAGCGCACGATATGACACAGCGTTCAAATAGTAACACTATCCTGTCGTGATTTGCTTCGTGGATTTCAAAGTTGAGATATTCTTCCCAGTTGCGGAGTTGGTATTTGTCCAAGGGTTTAGTGTGGAAGTAAGGGCGTCGAATCTGGTATAAATATTTGAGTCAAATTAATTAGGATTAAATTCGAGTTATCGTCAAATTTTAAATGAGATAAAATGCATGAGTTAACCAGTTAACGTATGACTCGATGACTGCCAAAATCGTTAAAATCAACTATTTTTCAATCATTTCTCTGCTCTGGGAATTTATTTTAAAATTCTGGACGACAAATTTGTAGTCAGTAAGTTGATTAATAGAATGACGGCGAGTTTTTAAGCTAGTTTCGACGAGCTCCAATTTTTCTAAAGGCTTTATAAGCTTGAGATCTCCTCCTTCAAAAAGTGTCAAAATCTGGAGTATGTCTTATTTATCTTTATAAAATTGGCAACGACCTGCTCAACATATTTGTCATCCAGAATTTTAAAATAAATTCCCAGAGCGGAGAAATGATTAAAAATGTATTAATTTTGACAATTGTGGCGGTGAGTCACCGAGTCCTACGTTAATTTTCAGCATAAAACCGGATTTCGTACCCTGTCTTCAAAAACCCATCGCTTATCGGCTTCCTCTTCACATTTGGCGTGGACTTTAGTCATTTTGTCTAAAATTTTAGTCTTGACATAATCCATAAGTCGGTCCTCTGGTTTGGACGGTTTTCTAATTTCACCAGGTTCATATTCTGGTTCCTCTTTGTACTTATACTCGAGTAACTTGCATCCTTTTTTGCGAAGATGTTCGAATTGATCTTTCATAAGAAAATCGCGAGGATGATGGTCACGCACTAAAACTTGGAAGCTGTTTTGAGTAGTTAAAATTAATTAGCAAATTACTAACTAATGGTTAATTAACATTATGTTCTTTAATTTATTACTTGTCCCAATGTCGATTGAAAAGTCGGGTCGGGACTTGAAGAAGTCTTCCATACAAGTTAAAAACCAGTCGCAACTTTTTGTTTTCCGTTTCAAAATTGAGGTAATCTTCCCATAAAGCGTCGCTTCGAAACTCCATCCCACAAGTATTGAGGGCACGTTCGTATTCGCTGTGTAAGGAATTTTTTAAATAGATTACAAATTTGAACATTTAGTTAATTAATTGTTATTTAATTTGCTCACTCTCGAAGTAAATCTTTAAAGTGTGCATCATGAATGTTGACTTCTCCAAAGAGTTTGATGTATGAGATCCACAAATCGACGGAAAGTGGGATAAATTCCAGCCCTCGTTCTAGGATCGTTAGAGCTCTGGAAAATTGGTAATTATTTTATGAAGACAATACATTTTACACATTTACTTAAGGAACAATTAAGGAGAATTAAATACTTTTTGCGAAAAACGGTGTTATTTATTTACCTTCCATAATAATTGAATCGTTTCTCCATATCCGAATATCTTTTCCAGTACCCAAAACAGTACGAAAACAGGGGAAGGAACGCGCTATAAACTTTCCGGCAGGTTGCAATGTTATTCTGTCAAAATGGAAATATACAAATTGAGGCACAATTAACTAACCAGACTTTTTAAGTAATAACAATTAATTAAAACACGTACTTTACTCTCTGCATAATGAATCAAATAAATCCATCGATTAAAATCATGCGGATCATCCTTCACAAATTCCCAATACTGTTCCAACGTTGTATCCCCCGTTATCCCTAAGTCTTCCGCCACCCTGGAGGGGACAACTTCCATGGGGAGCGGGTCATAAATTTCGGCCTCATTCTCCACCACTTCTCCCGGCCCGACAACCACGGTGCTGATGGCTTTCGCCTTTTTCGCCTTGTCCAACGCGTCCGCGGCGGCTTGCGCTTGTCGGGCACGAATTTGCGCCATCCGTGCCAATTGAATGATGGTTTGTTCGCCAGGGTCGGAATTAGAGTTGGAATTTTCATCTAGCGCTATGGGCAAGCCGAATTCGAGCCTTTGATCGTTATACGGATTGCTATCCTTGCTGTAATAGTATTGCGTGAATGTTTTATAAAAGTCGCGAACCCCGCTGGTGAGATTGGTGGGGGTGGGAGCGACTGGGGGTTGCTGGTTGTCGTCATTCTCGTCAGTTTTCTGCTCATCTGCTTTATCTTGTTCTTTAGGCTTATCAGGTTGTTCGTTTGGATTAGGAATTCCCAAGCTGGCGTAAAACTCGTCGGCTTGAGGATCCTCTTCGATGACGACCGGTTCTGAGGAATCTTGTTCGGCCTTCTTCTGCTCCACTTCGCTGCGGTCTTCGACAACGTCACATCTTCGGAATGGGGCGTCTTTAGCGCCTCCGATGGATCGCACCAATTCGCCGACGGTCATTTCTTCAATTTCTTCATCGTTTAATGGGGCGTCGGTCCCACTGCGGTCTTTGCTGAGTTCGGAGGCTGAATATACGCCTCCGTTCTGAAAATGTGGAGTTAATAAAGAGTTTATCGTGTCTCTCTCATCCATAATTTTCAAAAATTAATGTAGGACTTGATTTCTTATCACCAAAATCGTAAACATTAGCACAGTTTTAACCGTGATTTCTCTGCTCTGGGAATTTATTTTAAGCAGGTTGTCCCCAATTTAAAAAAATATACCCTCCAGATTTTGACACTTTTTGAAGGAGGAGATCTCAAGTTTAAGAAGCCTTCAGAAAAATTGGAACTTATCGAAACTGGGTCAAAAAACTCGACCATTTTGGTAATCATTAATTAAATTTTATATTATCCTCACAATTTCTCGAACCATAAGAACGTCTGGGTCAGCTTCGACCTCTTCCGCTTTACTTTGCGCATTGTCCACCGCCTTTTGCGCCACAGAATGGGGGATTCCATACCCATAACTTCCCGACGCGAGGACAAGGGGTTGTTCTTGACCTCCGACGGTCGTCAGAAGTCCAGATTCTTCGGAGGGGTGGACAAAACAACTTTTCAAGTGGAGAATCCCTTGATCCGCGAGTAACGGTTTTTGTCGGCGTTTCCCCATTGGTAAATTAATCCCCCTCTAACATAACCCCCTTCTCTAGATCTAAAACAGAAAAAATAAGGTCAGTAATTAAATAAATGTCCAATTTTTAATAGTTATTCATTCAACTTTCACATTCAAATTGTGAATTGCTATTAAGTTTAATTGTAAATGAAGAATAAATAAATTTGTAAACCTTTATAGCTTGATGATCCTTAATTTCTTATAACATTCCTATTGAATTTTTAGAATTGTTCAAACATTAAACTTTAATTTTTCAAAAAAAAATAACGAAATTCCCGTTACTAAACTTTGTGATTTGACTTTTTGTTTTGAAAATGAGATCCCACAATTCTCATATTCTCACTTCGTACTCGTAGCATGCAAACTTTTTCAGTAAAACTTTTACGTCCATAAGTTTAATTTGGCAAAAATTGCATTGTTTTTATGATAAAAGATAATATGGTGGACGGTTTTAATTTTAAATATTTTTGGAAATATTTTTTTTTACAAAATTGGATAAAACTATCATTTTATTTCTTGACTAATTTTATATTTCATTGATTTACATAACACATAATGTGGATGATGATTGAAAACAATTTTACTATTTGAGAAATATTATTTTTTTTTACAAAACTGGATAAAAATTCATCATTCTTGACCAATTTAGCATTTTATGGGTTTAATACATACATATTTGAACTTTTTCAGATCTACGTACGTAAACTTCTACGTCCATAAGTTTAATTTTGCAAAAATGGCATGTTATCTATTACGACGGAAGATAATGCGGAGGATGTTTCAAAATAATTTTACACGATTTTGGAAATATTTCTTTCTTACAAAATTGAATTAAAAAATATGAATTTATTTTCTTGACCAATTTAGCATTTTATGGGTTTAATTCATCTTTGCGTGGTTTGAATTTTGAATGGAATAGATTAGTCAGTCGCCGTAGGAAAATATTACAATTAGTTAACACAGATGTAAATTAGTGGATCAATTTGATGACGTATTCAAATTCAATTATTACACACTGTAAATAAACATTTATATAAAAATTTGAGGAGATTATTGCTCTCGGAAACTTCCCATGTGCATATTCTGCATAAAAGTGGAGACATTTTCTAAAATAACCTCCAATCCTGCTTCGTATGGAATAGTTTAGTGAGTCGCCGTAAGAAAATGTTACAATTATTGATTTGGAAATGATTAAGCGTGATGGATTTGATTTGAATTTCAGCCCGCTCGCAATGTTAATCAAATGGGCACGTGGTTTTGAGTTTTGGGCAGAAATTCCATCACGCTTAATTATTTTCAGTATAATAGTTAACAGCAATGTAAATTAGTAGATCAATTGTGCTTGGTTTATTTAGTCGCCGTAAGAAAAAACATTATAATTGGTTAATAAATCTACGCAAATTGAAGATCCAACAAACGACTTGGACTAATTCATGTATTGCACAAATTATGAATAAATAAAATTTCGAAATTATTCCTTTCGGAAACTTGCCATGTACTAAAGTGGAAAAAATTCCCTAAAGAAAACCTCTAATTGGCCGTGGTATGGAATAGTTTAGTCGCCGTAAGAAAAAATTACAATTAGTTAATAGCCATGTAAATTAATAGATTAATTTGACGACTTGTCCAATTCCAATTAAATTATTGTGCAATATTATATTTATAAAAATTCGAGATTATTGCTCTCGGAAATTTGCCATATACATATTTTGCATAAAAGTGGAGAAATTTTCTAAAATAACCTCCAATCCTTCTTCGTATGGAATAGTTTAGTGAGTCGCCATAAGAAAAAAAATATAATTAGTTAACAGCAATGTAAATTAGTAGATCAATTTGATAGGATTTTGTAATTCAATTATTACAAATATTATGTAAATAAAATTTCGAAATTATTCCTCTCGGGAACTTACATAAAGCTTTCCAAAATAAAACCTCCAATTGGTATTTAGCCCTCGTAAGAAAAGAAAATACAATTAGTTAATATGCATAAAAATTAGTAGATCAACTTGATCAGTAGGTGATGTATTCAAATTCAATTATTGCATCCTATTATCTATAAAAATTTGAGATAATAGCTCTCGGAAACTTTCCATAGACATTTTCCAAAAGAATCTTCATTCAACCCCCAATTGTGCTTGATTATGGAATAGTTTAGATAGTTTAGACGCCTTGAAGATTGATTATGGAATAGTTTAGACGCCGTGAAGAAAAAAACCTGCAATAATTTAATACCCACGTAAACTAGTAGATCAATTAGCCTTCTTCCAATTCAAGTATTGCAGAAATTATGAATAAAGAAAATTTCAAAAGATTCCTTTCGGAAACTCGTTACAAAAGTGGAAAACCTCAAATTTTGCGTGGTTTGGAATAGTTTACCATAGACCATACTTGTTCGCTTTCATTCATGTGACTGATTATGATAGAGAATGATGGTGAATGAAAATGAATTTCTTATGATTTGAATGAAAATGAGTGAAAGAATCCTTCATTTCGGGTGAATGTCTGTGAATAAAAGGATTTTTCACTAATTTCATTTTTCACCCTATGCTTAATACATGGAGTAAGAAATGAAGTCAGATGAAGTGAAATGAATTTTAACAAAAATGACTGAATGTGAATGAAAATCTTCAGTCAGAAATCAACGTGACTGACTTTTGAATGAAAACTAAATTTTTGAACAGGTATGGTTTAGACGCCGTAAGAAAAAAAATCATAATTAGTTAACAGAAACGTAAATTAGTAGATCATTTTGGACTATTTATTCCAATTTAATTATTTCATAATATTATGTATATGCAAATTTGAAATTATTCCTCCCCGGAGCTTGCCATGTTCATATTTTGCATAAAAGTGGATACATTTTCCAAAAAACTCCAATTTAAATTCTGCATAGTGCATAGTATGAAATAGTTTAGCAAAAAAAAGTTACAATTAGTTAATACCCAAGAAAATTAGTAGATTTGAGTGTGCAATAACAGTGTGCAATAACAGTGTGCTGATAACAGTGTGCAATAATTGAGTTACCTATAGGTAACTCAATTATTGCACACTGTTATCTAAAAAAAATTCGAAATTGTTTCTCTCGGAAACTTGCCACTTAAACTTACATATTTAGCATAAAAGTGGAGAAATTTTCTAAAATAACCTCCAATTCTGCTTCGTAAGGAAGAGTTTAGACGCCGTAAAGATAAAAAGTACAATTAGTTAATAGCCACCTAAAATAAGTAGATTAGCCGGAAGTTGTCTTTTGTAATTCAAAAATTATGTAAAACATAAATTATTAAATTATTAAAAATATTTTATTTTGCAAAAATTATGCATAAATAAAATATTTCGACTTTATTCCTCAAATTTCATAAAAAAACTCAATTTGTGCGTGGTATTGAATAGTTTAGACGCCGTAAGCAAAAAATTACAATTAGTTAATAACTATGTAAATTAGTAGATCCATTTTACTAGGAATTCCAATTCAATTATTGCATAATTCCACCCTATGTAAATATATACAAAATTTGAGATTATTTCCCTCAGGAATTTGCAATGTTCATAATATGTATAGAAGAAGTTGAAAAATGTATTAAAATCACACCTGACAAGTTTTTTTTCAGTTAATTACAACGTGTGCACACATTCATCTACATTTCTTTTCTACTTTGTTCATGCATTAATTTCCATGCAATTTCATTTTTTCGCATCTCCCTATTTTAAAAGGGTCCCAATGTCCCATTTACACAACTGATCATAATTTAATCCCTTTTGCGACCATAATTAATAGTTTTTTTTAGAATAGTTTTTCTCATGATGAAACCCAAGTTTACAGAAAAAAACATCTTGTCTTAAGAGAGACGCAAGCTTATTAAATAGTTGACTATAAAAGCTGCCAGGGCATTTGTGATTGACTCAGAATCCATAAAATTTCTAAATTTTTTTTAAATTTTAAAGCAATCTTCTTAATGTGTATTGTAACTTCCGGAAAAATCGAGTCCTTGTGTATATCGACAGCTGGAAATTTTCATACTTCTAGAATTTTTCACCTCAATAAATCAATAAACTTACTTAAACAGCAAAATTTCATCTAAATTGGTGTTTAACAATACTTTATTCTCAATATTTCGAAAATCGACGTCAAACCTTGACTTTGTGGTTATGAAATTTTAAAATGATGTTAACATTGTATTATCGACATTACTTCCGGCAAAATTGAGTACTTATCGACATCGAAATACTTTATTATTATGAAAAAAGAAGTATTCCTGTACAAAAACATGCACCTATTAAATTATGATCAGTTAAAAATTCTCCTTTTTAATAGCGTCCCTATTTAATCATTTCATCTCATCATTTACCAAACTTGTTGAACATTTCGCCATCATGACCTTGACTCATGCACACTTTCTAAAAATACTTCGGCCACCACACAAGCCGACAAAGTAAGAGAAAAACTTGTCAAAATTTTCAATTTGTTAAGTAGTCCCACCACCACCACGACATTGTGCAATGCTTTCTCTTGTGCCAATAAATGTCACTCAATTTGATGATTATTTGATGTCCCTAAAAGACGAGAAAGAACAGAACATACGGTCTGGAACATTGCGGGACAAGCAGTGGCCGCGGACAGGGGGACAATGTCCCCACGGTTGTTCGATGTCGGCATCATCTCCCCAGGTTATATGAACCCCAACCTGCAATGGGAATGTCCCCACGGCTTCCGCGGCCCCTGTGGACAGGACAAGATGAGGAGGAGGAGGAGGACAAAACCCGAACCAGACCAACGTGAAGGTGGTTGGTGAAAGTAAATTTTCGGGGTTTCCTTCCGTCCGGAAAGAGGAGAGAGGAGTCGATTCACTCGCTAACGAGTAACGAGTGAAAAGAGCAGGGCTGGGCAAAATATAAAGTATTTTGAGCTCCTTTCTTATCAAGGTTTGCGTTTTTAGGGGTGTTACACCCAGAAAAAGACGAAAATCTACCTGGAGAAAGCAGCAGTGGTATAAAAATACGGGTTTTATGAAAAAATTAACTTTTTATCGTCGTCAAAATGCATTATTTTCACGATTAAATAAAATCAAGTATTTTAACTAAATTTCTTCACAAAACCTTTTCGTTTGATCGTTGCATTCTGGATGAAAATTCTCGGCCCGTATTCTTCCAGGGTTTGGATTTCCACAGGCTGTTACACCCACAAAAAGATGAAAATTTTGCGTGGAGAAGGCAACAATCGCACGAAAATACAGGTTTTGTGAAGAAATTAGCTTTTCATCGGTTGTCGGTGTCAAAACGTTTTCACAATTTTTAAAAAAAATGCAGTATTTTGACGCCGAAAGAAATATAATTTTGTCACGAAATATATTTCCGTACGTCACGCAGATTGTTGTCTTTCTCCCTGGGTGTGTCCCCCCCCCCAGAAATCCAAACCCTGCGAAAAACGAGCTCAAAATACTACACGTTTTTCCCCAGCCCTGCTCAAAAGAGAGTCTGTCTAGCTAAAAAGTTCACATATCAGGGTTATCTTTATCTGTTATCTTTCCTTAAATTCTGACATCGATAGTTAATTTCTTCACAAAACTCGGGTATTTTCGTGCGTTAGAGTGCGTTAAATGTGGGTGTACCAGAAATCCAAACCCTGTAGAAAACTGAGCTCAATCAAAGTACCGTATTTTGACCCAGCTTTTTGCCCACCTCTGCCGAAAATTCTGCTAAAAAGGAAAGCCCACCAACTTTGTATGTATGTATCCACTAACTAAAGGGGAGAGAAAGTTGAGTGAAAGTACCAAGTTTTGGGTGGTGGTACTGTTCTGTTGGATTTTGGATATATAGACGACTCTCTCTCCCATATGAAAAGAGATCCTTCCTAACTTGCTGCTGCCTGCCTCTGGATGAGCGGAGGATATGGGTCAAGGGTGTGTGTTCTTTACTCTTCTTGTGCTACATAGAGTTCCGACTGCTTTGAAGTAAGTATACGATACCAACGAACCAAGTAAGTAAAAGGCAAGGAAGGAAGAAGACAGATCAGCTTTTAATATAGCACACAAAGAGGAAAAAGGTAGTTGGTTCGTGGAGCGGTGACGGTGAACAATTGCAGGAATTTTTTGCAAATTTTGGTTTTTGCAAAATCGGGAAGATTAAAGAAGGGAAGTTTACGAAATTAAGGTAAAAGTAAAATTTTTAACCGGAAATGTGATGAGTTTTGTCCATTTTAATTATCAATCATCTGTGGCAATCCATCTATAATTTTCTTTAATTGTACCGAATTGGACAGAATTTAGTTGGGACGTTCAATTATGTCAAATTAATTAATTAATATTTGCCTAATGAATTTTCGTTGTTTTTTGCATTGCAGAAACTTTGTGAGTCATCAATTATTGTACGAGTTACCTGATTTTCATATCACTACATAATTCTATTCCGGAAGTGAAGCTATTTATTTCCACTATTATTTCCTCGGAGGAAAAGTAAATAATCCCCAATTTCCAATCCAAAATGATGATGGACGGCGGCGGTGCATTCGGTGGAGCCAAGGCGGGCGCGGCCTTTGACCCGGTCACATTTGCGAAGAAACCCCCCGTCATTTTGAGAGGGCTGTGTCTCGTGAGTTTTCACAAATTAAATTATTTCATATTCATAAATCAGAAACATTTCAAAATTATTTTATTTTATTCCCAGCTCTTCGCCATCATCGTATTCGGCTGCATTTCCTCCGAAGGTTGGCGATACGACCGGACAAAACGAAGGGAAACCTGTCTCTTCAATGACGACGGGAACGCTTGCAATTTTGGCGTGGGGATCGGTGTTATCGCCTTCCTCGCCGCGATCGGCTTTCTCGCTGGCGAATATCTCTTTGAACAGATGTCCTCCGTGAAAACGAGGAAGCATTATGTCCTCGGAGATTTGGCATTTTCTGGTGAGTGAGAGATCAATTCTAAAAATTGCGACAGACATCCAACATATGTTGAGAAATTTGTTTGTGTCCTTGGTCAATACTTAGGACTTTGGGCATTCCTCTACTTTGTCGCATTCTGCTACCTGTCAAACGAATGGAGTAAATCGGACGACCCACCTGGAGGTAAATACAACCACAGCCAGACAGATTACAGATTAGGAGCGGATTCCATTTCACTCCTCACTTTGATGTGTATTTTTATCATTTTTATCGATCCATAATCTTTTACTTATGATTTCGTGACAGGTGTCGGAGTTGGAAATGTCAAAGCTGCCATTGCGTTCTCCTTCTTCTCCATTTTCTCATGGGTACTTACTGCGAAAAGTTTCGCCATTTTGGATGCAATGAAATCGTATCGATGTCATCAAAATTAATAAATTTTCCATTGTCCTAGGCTGGATGTGGATTCTTTGCTTACACGAGATTCCGCCAAGGTGCAGAACAAGCGTTCGCTCCAGCATATGAGGTGCGATGTCAATTAAACAATTTCAATTTCTACTAAAAATTTAGTGTTTTTGACAAGTAACCACTTGCAAGATAGTGGTTTCTTGCAGCTATTTTGACCTGCACGAAATGCACAGCGCAAGAAATTACGCCCCGCAGCTATATTTCATACAGCGCGTGGCTGGATGGCGCATATTTATGGCACTTTCTCCAAGTTTCTTGCACCTTGCATTTATTGCAATTCTTGTTTTTGCACTTCAAGAAATGTAGCAAACGAAACACTCGAAAAGTTTTTGATTTCCTACTATTTTAATTCAGGTCGATTCTGGAGCGATGCCAGGCGCCACGGCGTACTCGTCTTATCCTGGCGGACAGGTAAAATTATCAAGATATCCTTCAAATTCTACAACACAGATGAATTTTACCTCCTTCCTTTTTTTCTACAGGACATGGGCCCCGGGGGATACTCCGAGCCACCCTTCAACACTGGGAGAGGTACTTATTTAACAAATAACGATATTATTTTACCCTCCTTTTATAATACTTATCATGCTTTTTTCTCTCCAGGTGGTGGAATGGAATATGCCACACCAACCTATTAAACTCTGTCTGTAGACAAGATAACCAATGAACAACGCATCTTATCAACTTCAAGATAACCACTTTGAGTCAAACGAAGGTAAAAAAATGAATTTCCACACCACACCACACCTGACAAACTAACTCTTCTAGTCTCCCAACCAACTACTGTATACCGTGTCAAATCAAGTCAGGTTTTCAACCCTCATTCATTCATAATCAATAATAATATACAAAACCAAGCAGAAATTGGGGGACGCAGTCAGTCTTAAAAGAAATCAAATTGAGGGAAGAATTACTTAATAAGCACACACAATAATAATACAAATACCGGAAAAGTATTCAATTTACTGACTTCCAGCAAGAAATTCTCGCCCTTCCAACGAATATTTAAGTATAAAGAACAAACGGGAACTGAAAATTTGGAAGCGATATTATAGCCTAGCCACACCTGGTCGGTTAACTGGAAAATATTATTAAATGTTCATTAAACTAAATATACAAGGTAGTTAGTTAATTAGTCATTTAGCAGAAAATGGGTGTGAAAGAATGTGTATTACCCCAAAAAACAGTCATTCCTCGCAAGTACTTGATACAACGCAAACGATGATCTCGTTAAACATCTTCGTCTTCTTCTTCAACTTTCCTTTCGGTAGAATATTACAGTGGCCGCGGAAGCTGTGGGGACATCTGGGGACGTTAACATTGTAGGATATGGGAGGGAGGGGTTTATATAAGATGGGCAGATGATGCGGACATCGAATAACCGTGGGGACATTGTCCCTCTGTCCCCACGCTTCCGCGGGCACTGTTGACAAAGGTGGTTTTACACTTATGCATTACTAACTTGCGCCATAGTTAAACCATAACATTGGCGCAAGTCTGTAAAAACTCGTAGTACATATAAACCCACCTTCTTTTCTATTTAAAACTCGAAATTATCAATCACTTTCACTCTTTCTTCCGAGTTAAATATGTAAATTAGAATTTGCAAATGCGGGCTGAATGCAATTAAAAGTTAATTAACTTTAACAATCTCAAAACCAAACAACAAATCAATTTCGATCTGGTCACGGACAAATAGAAAACAAAAATAGTTACGAATCTCAAAAATTAATTAATAAATACATACATGCACCGTTTACGACTTAACAAAATTACGTCACTAATTAACTAATTACTAATTAGCATACCACAATTAACTACATAAATACATATTAGAAATATTGTGTGATTTCTCAACTAAAAATGAATCAATCTATCATCTCATCTGTCTCAATTCTAAATAAAATTGCATGCCACATACATAAATATATTTTATTCTGCATGATTAAACTAAGGATTAATTCGTTTAATTGTAATTAATCAATCACGGTTAACTTTATTAGTGAGCTTATCCGAGCTGTTAAAAAAGCCATCATATTAAAAAAAATACGTTCCTTTTACTTACGTAATAATTCCACACAATAATTTCGAAATTTCGAAAATAATTCCACAATAATTTCCAAACCAGCCAATACAGAAAACTTTGCAATATTATTAAACCTCATAAACCAATCAATACATATTTACCGTCAATAATTAATTTACAATTAATCAAATAATTTACATATTAATTACTAATTAAGAAAATAATACTTACCAATAATTAAACTAACTTTAATCATAATTAATTAGCATAAAAAAGCAGCAAGCAATTCAAAAGCAGCCAGCGAAAACTAACCAAGCAAACCTCGACCTGTACAGTCAACGCGAAAAAAATCAGCACCGGTAAAAAATTGTCTACCATTTAAGAAATAATTAAGTCTAATTAAAATTAATTAACCTAATAATTCGTGATAACTTATCACCGATAACACAAAAATTACTATTATCATTTTCAATCCATCGGGTACTTAAGGGAGAATTGGATGACGCCATTCCTTACACCCCTGGGCAACAGTAGACTCTCCTTGCCCCATAAACATACATGCAAAATACAAAAAATGGCTTTAATTGCAATCAACTCATTCATTTTTGAAAATAATTTAATTTTGATTGGTGTTTTGAAAACCTAATTTTCAGCGTCACAAACAAGTCGATTTCAAATTTCAAATTTTTCAAATTTGACAGAGGTACACCTTCGTATCTGTGTCAAATTTGAACATTTTAAAATTTGAAATCGACTTGTTTGTGAAGCTGAAAATTACATTTTTAAAACATTAATCAAAATTAAAATTAATTCAAAAATGAATGAGTTGATTGCAATTTAATCTGTTTTTTATCATTTTTTTCCCAAAAATGGGGCAAAATGGTACGCCACGAAGCGTGGTAAATGTGGTTGTCTTCGCTGTTTTTTCCCATCACAACCAAATCTTCATCATCAACTAATCAAGCTTATCACCGAGTTACTCTCCACAAGCTTATCATCTCTCTCCACCAGCTTACCGAGTGGCAAGCTGGTGGAGACACTAAAACCACAAACCGGTAAGAAAGTCTTATCTTGTCACGAAGCAGTGACCACGAACCACGACCCGACTTCCGTTCGTCAAAGAAGTTTTACTCTTTGTTCACATCTGGTAAAGAACATTTATAAATTTCAAGTCAGGAATTTAATAATATTTGAATTACTATATAAGATTGAAGTGTGACGATGGCCGTCCCTGCAAAATTCCTGGTAACCCAGCTCTCTGATGAGAACTATAATTCTTATTTGTGCGAGAAAATTCAAGAAAAATGGGACATTTTAGAGGTGGGTCATCATATTCATCAAGAAGTCATCAAGAAATTTTTAACGAATATTCGTTTGATAAACCGGTGGAGAGTAGCTTGGTTGATAAACAGATAAGCACGAGAAACTCAGGATTTTTTGAATTTCGCGGTGGAAGGGTCCACTTTTTGTAGGGGTGTGGGGCATTGTGTTACATGAACAGTTTAACATTGTGCAAAAGGCCCCTTAAAAAAGTCGAAGCCAAGTCAGAAGAAAATAGTTTTTTAACAAAAACAAATAGCCAAAAAAGTTGTGAAATTCGGGCAAAGCAAATTATAAAAAATTGCGATTTTATTGTAATCCTAGGGCTAAAAATAGCGTAAAAAAACTAGAGATGACCAGTTATTTAACAAGGAAAAACACAAAAAGTTGTGACTAATAAAAATGAATCCTGTGTCCGTAGCAAATAATAGAGGAACACCTAGAGAGACTTATTAGAAAGGGAGACCATAAATAAATAAATAAATAATAATAAATCCATAAGAATGAATAAAATACAAAAAAATAAAAGCCAATATTACTTTATTTTTGTGTGGGAAATATGATAAATAAATGTTTAATTGTGATTAACTACATAATTACATAATTCTCACAAGGGTGGTCTCCCAGATGGTGCTCTCCGATTTTGGACAAATTGTTGTTAATCGATCACAAATTTAATTAAGATGAAATTTACAAAAGACGCCATCTCCCAATGGACACGTTTGGCAGAGATATTTGCATCCCAAGAGGAAAAAACGTGCAGTAAATTTTGAAAAGTATAAAATTTTTCAACTTTATGAAGCGTTTTCTCCTCTTCGGATGCAAATATCTCTGCCAAACGTGCCCATTGGGAGATCGCATCTTTTGCAAATTTTATCCTAACTAAATTTCCCATCGATTCACACTAATTTGCTCAAAATCGGAGAGCACCCGCTGGGAGACCTCCATTCTCAGTAATTAAAATATTACCGAGAAAAAAAAATATAAGTTTTTTCCGTGGTGTGGTCATAAATATTACGTGGTAAAAAAATGTAATCCGAGTCAACCTTTCTTTCCCAATTTTATTTACATACATACCATTTTGCAAAATATTTCGCAAATGTTGCTCTATTTTTGACGGGTTAATTATGCATGGACAATTTATTATCTCATTTTCTTTCTCCCCCTTTCCCCATGAATATAAATGAGTAGAAACTTGTACGCTGAACCACAATAATTAGAAAGAGTAGTCCTATTATTATTACAAACTTACCTACAAAAAATTACTGGTATTCATAAATAAATTTACATAAAAAAATATATATATACAAAGTTTTGGGCAGAGTTTGTTGGGTGGAAATTGGAGCTAAATATGTCTGTACTTATGAAAAAAAAGTATGAAATGTAATATGTGCAAGTAAATCAATGATATTAAATAATTGATTTATTATTCTGTTCACGTCCCTCTTTTATGCGTGGTCGTGGTCTGTGTAAAATAATGTACTTATGGAAATATGTACGGCAGGGTTGGGCAAAATACTGGGTTAAAATGTACCGTATTTTGAGCTGTGTTTTTCCCAGGGTTTGGATTTCCGGGGGGTGGCACACCCACAAAAAACGAAAATCTACGTAGAGAATCAACGGTCAGTCGAAAATACAGGTTTTTTAATGAAGGAATTGACGTTTTGTCCCTGTAAAAATAATGTATTTTTACCAAAGAGAAAGTTAATTTCTTTACAAAACCTGTAATTTAGATCAAGTGTTGTATTATTTTAATGCAACAGCTGTACACAAATTTGCACTTTTTTCAAGAAATTAACTGTTAGCAAAATTTAATTGTTTTCGCGATTTTCTAGAAATAAAATATGTTGCAGTAAAATGCATCGGAAATTCACGATTTTTTAAAAATTATGTATCTTGACACCGTTAATTTCTTCACAAAACCTGCATTTTCGTACGATTGTTGCCTTCTCCACGTAGATTTTCGTCTTTTTGTCGGTGTAACACCCCCGGAAATCGAAACCCTGGCAAGAATCGAGCTCAAAACACTGTAAACTTCGACGCAGTATTTTGCCCACCCCTTATTTTTTTCTGGTCTTGTGCACTTGTGATTTTTTCCCTTATTTTTCGTATACAAAAGTACTTATCTAGGATAAAAATACACATATACACAATTTTACTTGAACAGTATCGACTTTTTTTATGTATGTATGTAAATATCTACATACGCACGCAAGCACAAAAGAAGAAAAATATTTAATTATGTTACTAATTAATTTCGCGAAATTGGATTTATGTATGTCGTAAATAAATTGCATGCTTTTTCGTTATTTGATCGATCAAAGAATTATACGAATTGTTATTTTACGTTATAAAAATACGGATGACTTGATGAGTTTAGTTTTTACCTGGACACTAAAAAAAGTCGATGATAAGATAAATTCCGATATGATATTGTATGTATTCATTATTAATCCGTGAGTGCAATAAAGTACGTACTTTGATGAAAAAGAGAGAGGTTTTGCAAGCTATATTCTTCATTTTTGCGGGTATGTTTGGTCTATTGTTTTGGATTTTATGTGCAAAATGTTGCGAAAAATAATTTGCGAGAAATTGGTGAATTTCGCAGTCGATAATGATTAAATTTGATTTGTCATTTACTAACAGTACTTAAACAGATTTATAGAATTTATTGATACAGGTTTTGAAAATAAATAATAGCAAAAACTTTAAGCAAGACAAATTCAATACAAAATTATTTTGGAGAAAGTTCGGAGTCGAAAATATCTTTATTTGTTGCTTTCACATAAGATAGTAATAAAACAGATTTGACTCTATGTTAGAATTTTTGGTCCCAAGTTTTCTATGAAAAATTATGAGCAAATTATGAAAAAATAATCTATGAGAAATTGCTTGATTTCGCATCTGAATAAATTTATTTTTCCAATTTGCCATTTACTAATAGTATTTAAAAAGATTCGCAGGTCCAATTTTTGAATAGAATGGCAAAAAAATTGCAGAAAAAATGCAAAAATATAATATTTTTAGAGAAACGTCAAAGTTGAAAATATTATCTTTATTAATTTTTTATTTGAAATAGTAATAAAACAGATGTGTGGTTGAATCTTACGTGTTTTTTCAAATTTTCTGCAGGTCTTAGAGTTATATCATTATAAAATTGTGGGCAAAATGTAAAAAAATACTTTTCGAGAAATTAACAAAAAAAAAGAAAAACAAATGCAAAAAACATTAGACAAACATCGAATTCGAAAACATTAATGTGTGCATTTCTCATTTACACCAGTAATAAAATAAATAGTTATGCGAAGTTTTGTCTGCACCTTTTCTGCAGTTTGTAGATTATAACAAAAATTGTAGGCAAAATGTTGTAAAAAATAATTTGCGAGAAATTTGTTGATTTCGAAGTTGATAATGTTTATGTCTAATTTTTAAAGTAAGATTCGCGTGTGGATATTTATTTGTGCAGTTTTTGAACATAATACAAAATAGTAAAAAAAACGATTATCAAAAACAAATGCAAAAAAATTGAGAAACTTCGCAGTCGAAAATACTAACTTTACAACCTTAAGTTTATCTACTAAACTCCGTTTCAAGCTGTCTGAGTTCACCGCCTTGAGGACATTACATTACATTACATTACCCGAATGAGCCGAATTATTTTATTATTTAGGATGAGTTATTTTTACTTTGGAGTTTAAATTATTCAATTTCGTATGGTTTCTACGCCAAAATAAAACTAAGTGGTGTCAAATAATAAAATAATTCGGCTCATTCGGGTAATATAATGTAATGTCCTCAAGGCGGTGAACTCAGACAGCTTGAAACGGAGTTTAACGAAATAGGTGCCTCTGTCGTCTATGACATTTTGTTCCCAAGTTTTCTAAAGTTTTTACAGCATAGAAAAAATTGTATGGAAAATATGGGAAAAAATATTTGCAAAAAATTGGTTGATTTCGCACTCGATTTTTTATACTTATTTTTATTTTAGTAATAATACTAAACAGATTCATTAAACATGCATAGGTATACTTATCAAATACGTACAAAGTAATGTGCACTTTGAATAATTAACAAAACAATTCTATCCAAAAAATCGTAAAT